GCCGAAGCTCCCAAAGAAAGAGATTATTAGTCTCAGTCTTCCCAAGTCCCAAGACAAAGAGTCCAAAAGCTTTCTTACTACTTCCCTTTCCCATCTATTTATACTAGAGACCCTTATTACTACTATTATTATTATTACTTCTAATATTATTCTAATAGGTAGGTCCCTAACACTCCGGTAGGTCCCCAGTCGTCTAAATTATCCAACAAAACGGTCACCCGCGTGTCCCACCACCGGTGAATCGCCATGGCAGACAACACCAACCTTATCCAACCCTGTGTTCACTGACAAAGAGGCTGCGGCGTCGGAAGGCTTTCGCCTAGGTGGTAGATCAACTAGGGGAAGCAGGAGGCATCCACAGTGAACTTCGTCAGTGCAGCCATCCCTGTATGCTGCCTTCCGGATCTGCAGCTCAAGAAGACAACAACCTACTGGACCGCCATGGGAGAGGGATCTTCAAGAACGAACAGTGAAAACAATTTCCATATTTTTCAAAAAACTCATAGGTCAGACCCTATGGTGAAGTGTAACCGTAGCCATGAGATCCACCGGAGCCAGGAAGGCTCCGGCGGCAGAGACCACCGCGAGTGGTAGTGCCAGACCTGAGGAAGGGGAGAGAGAGAGAGACTAGGAGGAGCCTAGTGAGAGACGCTCTCAACACTCTCTAGACCCTTATTTTATTACAATTTTGTACTTATTATCTGCCTAATTGAGAGGTTTAGAGCCCGTTTGGTAGTACGAAAAGTGGCTACTTTATCTAATTCTGCTGAAATTTATGAAGTTCTGGCTGAAGTGGCTGCATTGGTTGATTCTGCCGATTTAAAAAAAACATAATATTAAAATATATTTTATTAATAAAATAAAGAAAAAATATGTAAAAATAGCTAAAATGGTCATCTACAGTAACTTCAGTCAATACAGCCAGAAAAGTAACTCCAACCTTACTTTTTATGCTTATTACACAATTCAGTGCGCAAATGCAAAAGTTACGTGTTTGGTGAAAAAATTGGCCGATAAGCCTGATAAGCCGAAAACCAGTGTTGCCAAAACGGTCTCTTAAGTTATATGTTGTGTTAAAAATGATTTAAACAGGTTGAGGAGCTTTAATTGTTGGATTTGAGTTAAATTGAGAAGATGACAAGTTCATGAAATTATCTCAAGTGGAGTTCCAAATTTATGGGCTGATTTGTGAAGTGAAAAAGTTAAGGGGCTGATCTTCTAAGCATTTAAAGTCACTTCCCCTCCCATACAGTAAATATATTAAAGGGTTGATTATTGGGAAAACAATCCAAATTGGAAGAGAAGAGGGCAGTCACGAGAACTCCTAAACGGCATCAAAGTTTGCAACAGAAGTGAAGTGGATATAGGAGTCCCACAGCCGAAAATAAAGGAACAAAACCTGCTCTCTCTTCCGGATATAAAAAGGAAAATTGGAGAAGCTGAAGGTGGGATTCTTTCGAGATTTTAAGGAGAACGCTGCAGCCTTCCAATCTGACTGGCTGGAATTCTTCGAGTGCAGAGGAGTGCAGCAGTTCTGAGATTTTTTTATCGTGAAAATAGCAATTCAGTTCAGAAATTCTTCCTCTGGAAAAGTCCCGGTTTGATTCAGCTAGTGTTCATAACTTTTTTAGATTATTTCCTTCTGAAACTTGTTTTAGTTTAATTGCTTGGGTATTGGCACAATTGTTTATTGTTGATTGTTTAGATGGTCAAAATGAATTCTCTGTTTCCGACAGTTTTAACAATTTTATACACTAGTATGAGTAGCTGATTTTCTTAAGTCTTGGATTATGATGATGTTGCTTAGTATGAATTGTGATTTTATTTATGTCAATTGGTTGAGTTTTATTCATTGTTCTTATTCTCTTTATTGATTATGTTAATTTCTGGACAACTTTAGTATGATTAATTAAGTTGTTTAAGTGGATTAATAGTGATTAATTAACTATTCAATTAATAATTTTTTATTGGTTAATAGTTAAAGTACGTGACTTATTCTGGACGTCATACGGAATAGTCATATTTTTGCCTAGAACGAACCCTCAATCTTAATTGACTAACTAAATCACAAATACTAAAAATTAGTGACAGAATCATAATCCTAGACTATCTTTTATCTTGTTAAATTCTCAATCAATTTCCTGTTAGTTATTTAATCACTTTATTTTTAATCCTTTAAATTCCTTACAACAACCACAACAACATCTAAGCCTTAATCCCAAAAGATTTTAGGATCAGCTAACATGAATCGATCCATGATATTGATGCCAAAAAGAGAAAACAGACAAGAGGAAGAAGAAAAAAAAGTAAGATATGATAGATAAGATAAATATAAGATAACAATAACATAAGAATATAAGAAAAATAAAAAATTAAAAGATAAAAGAATATAAAAAAAGCTAAAAGATAAAAATAACATAAGAACATAAAAAGATAAAGAAGATAAATGATAAAAGAAAAAGAGAGAGGAAAGATAGAAAAGAGATCAATCGTCCACACGAATGTGTTGGGCTGTAGGCTTCGACCCACTTAGATCTGGGAGCCAATTAAACAAAGAGCAGCAGTCGGCCCTAATTAAGTGTGCAGCCAGCCTAGTTGGGCCTGTTTCTTTAGTGGCAATCAGGCTCAGAAGTTGATTAAGTGTTTACCCTAATAGTTAGCCTATTTATATTGACTCCTGCACTTGTAAACTATCAATTGTATCAGTCATCATCTCAATAAGAAAGAAAACCCTAGTTGCCCCCGTGGATTAGGTCAGTAACATCTACTGGCTGAACCACGTTAAATTCGTGTCGTTCTTCTCGTTCTCTTCTAGTTTTTCATTTTGTTGCATAGTCACATGGTTCGCGGTACGGTTCGATACGGGAACGAGGAACGGGAACGTGGTTCGCTAGATCTAGCGTATCCGATTCGGAGGGGGGTAGGTTCATTTCGGTACGCGTTCGATACGATGTACCATGTGTTCGGTATGTTGTACCTAATATTTTGGTACTATAATAAAAATATAAAACCGAATTATAGAATAAAGATTTCAACATTAAACAAAAACGTATTTCATAACATGATTTTTCATAACATTAAACAAAAGCGAAAACATCAATATTCAAGAGTTATTTTGGGATCATTTTGGCTCATTTTATAACAGTTATTAGAGAGTAACATTGATTATTGGGATCAGAAAACTAAGAGTCTTAGAAACGAAACGAAAGGATAAAAAAACTAACTCTGTTTACACACGGGAAACGATACGCAAATAAGCAACGTAGAGTCGTAGACCTTATTTCGAAATATGGGATATGACGATTCAAATCTGGGAAACGAACGGAAACTACGTTCTAAAGCTTTGCGACGAAGGGAAACGGCGATTAAATTCGCTTCGAACATGGATTGGGGTTGCTTCGAAGAGCGATTGAGATCGTCGAGGAACTGCGATTGGGTACGACTCCAAGACCGTACCACGTAGCGTTCTGGCAAGCGAACGGGTCGTTTGCGTACCGCGATTAGGTACGGAACGTGCGGTACGGAGTTCGCGGCATGTTTAACGATTTATGTATCTATGGTTTGTTGTGTGTGTGCGCCCTAACCTTAACAGAATGTGCACCCTACACTTTGTTCTCTCCAAAATCACTCTCATCCAACTCAAGAAGATGCATATCAGTTTTGATTCCTTTAATCCAAGTCTGTTTGGGTCTTCTCCTCCCTCTCCTCTCTGTCTCTTCTCTCCACCCCTCAAGTCATCTTAACAGGTGCATCATTCGATCTTCTACGCACATGCCCAAATCACCGCAAACGAGACTCCTACATCTTATCTTATATAGGTGTTACTCTCACCTTTTGTCTGATTATCTCATTCCTTAAGCGGTCTTTTCTGGTGTGTCCACACATCCAACGCAACATACGCATCTCTGTCACACTCATCTTTTGAATGTGACATTGTCTCACCGCTCAACACTCTACATCATCCATTAATGCAGGCTTAATTGCTATTCGATAAAATTTACCTTTCAGTCTAGTCGGCATACCTTGATCGCATAGAAAGCCTGATGCACTCTTCCATTTCATCCACCCATTTTATGGGATACATCTTCATCTAATTCACCATCTTTCTTAATTATGGAGCCCAAATAACGAAACATATCACACGTTGGTATCTCCTTACCATCAATAGTAATCTCATTGTTGCTACTACTTCTACCTCCACCAAACTTGCACTACATATACTCAGTCTTGTTTCGACTAAGTCTGAAACCCTTGGTCTCCAACATTTGTCGACATACTTTCAACTTTGCTTTAACACCCGATTGCGTCTCATCAATTAATACAATATCGTCAGCAACATCATGCACCACGGTATATCTTCTTGAATTCAATTCGTAAGCTCATCCATGATTATAGCAAATAAGAAAGGACTCGAAGCCGAATCCTTTAAATTCCTTGCATCCATTTAATTCAATTTTTACTTTTTCAGTTTCAAATCAAAACATTCTCAAAACTCTCCTTTAGTTACATTAATTCCATTTTTAGTTAACTATTTTCCAATTACTTTGTTACATTTTCCCCGTGGACTCAACCCTTACTTAAACATTATACTATCGTGACTCGTGCACTTGCAAGGACTTATAAATTGAGTATCACCTATCCCTTTCCCACCCCTACCATGGGGAAAGGGTGCAGGTGAGGGGTTAGGGGGTAGTAGGTGGGAGTACGGTGGTGGTGGGGGCTGGGAGTGATAGTAAGAAGGTGGTAGGGGTGCTGGTGGTTGGGGACTGGGGTAGGGATGGAAGTGGTCGTAATAAGGGGGTAAAGTCCTTGAAGGTTATAATATACATTTTAAAGTTAAACCATGTTTTAATAAATGCATCGGCCTCGTGAAGTAAACATACGTTTATTAAGCACCTCTTAGTAAACAATGGGTTAGTAAAACATGTTTTAATAAACAGCGCTTACTAACCCATGAAGTGAACATGTCCTTAAACTTCTGCAATGAAAAGACATTGCACCTGTCAGTTGGTAACTGGGAGCAGTAAAAGTGGATGAGTCCAACAGCAGAGTTTAAGCTCACAACAGCACCGGTGGAAACCACCTCGTAAAATGTATCGGGCAATGCTCTTGTGGAGACTAAATTGGAGGCTCCGTTGAGATGGCTAATGTCAGTCCTCTCAATGGCTTCTTTCCGCACGGTCTCTTCACTGTTTCTAGAATTCCTTAGAAATGCTTCATGTGACAAATTTCCTCTAAACAAAATATCATAGAAAGGTGACTTTAAAATACAGGTTGCATGTATTTATAAAGGAGTTTTCTAATGTGTGCCCATGGGCACATGATAAATATATTAGTGTGCTTTTTAGGTTTTAAGGAATCGATTTGATGGTTTTTTAAATGAATGATATTTAACAAATTATTATGATCACCACTAAAATTTATACATTTATCACTATTATATAAAGGATAACTTTAAAAGAAATTTAAGCATTAAATGTTCATTAATGGTTTATTATCATGTACCCAAACACACACTCTAGGAAAACTAATCTCTAAAAGCAGACAATACAAAAACAAATGTACCTTTCAACCATCAAAATATAATCGGAACATTTCTTTCGAGCACGGCCCCTGGATTGAATATAAGCCAAAACAGTTTTTGCAAGATCAAAGCGGATGACGACATTACATTGCGGTATATCGAGACCTTCTTCAGCAACACTAGTGGCAACTAACAAATTAACCTGACAAGCACATGATGTCTAATAAGAGATGATGGAAAACCAGGCAACATTATGCACTGCTTATAATGCAGTATATAGTGAGAGCACTGACCGCATTGAGGTTTATTTCCGTTTGGTTAGAAAAATGATCATGCACAGTTACACTCAACATATTAATCAGTAATGAATATTACTATCCCTTTGATGACCAATAACTGAATATTTTGTAACAGATGTATGCTCAATAAGGGAGACTGTTGACTAATCTTAATAAACTAGCTCAAATTTGTATCAACCCTTGTTTTGAGTAACTGTTCAACCCTGGGCTTGTGTAAAAATAGAAGCACTTTGTAATGAAGCGATAGACCACTATTACAAACCCATCTCTATTACTTTCATAGTATTGCAGATTTCAAACAAATCTTACTATTTACCACCATGCATCAAAAAATTAGTTCAGGGATAAACCCATTATTAGAATGATAAAAATTAAGGCATCTTATGATTTAGTCATACCCGCCCATCACGGAATTTGGCAATTGTATCCTGCATTTGACTAGTCCGCATATCTTGGCTATTGTTGTGCCCAATCAAGCTTGCTGACTTGACGAAACTTAGTGAGGGTAGCTCTGCAAATACCTACAGGGTTGTTAGATTTAACTTTCTTAAGATTAACAATATGAGAATGAGTTCCACCTTAAAAAGGAAACAAGCATTGGTTTGTCAACCTTTGGAAGAACCAAAGCAGCAACAACACGTTCAACAAATATAATTGCACGAAAATCCTCTGTGTGTTGATAGTTGAGAAGAACTTTGATTAAGGACTGAACCTTTGGTGTCACTTTTCCATCAGCAACAGCAGCTCCAATTATCACATCGACATGCTCTCCACCAGACATAACTATAAAATAAAATACAAAGATAAAAAGGCAAAATACAATCTCAAATATATCTTTAAAAAGTCATGCTAGTGGCTTTTTGTGTCCAGCATCAGCAATTACTTAAGTTTCTCAGTAATTAACCAATGCAAAGCTAGCTTTTAAAATCCACTCAGCTAATCAAATGAGACTATTAAAATTCTATTTGAAGCCTAACTTTCAAGCCTAATAGATATTGTTCACCTTCTATGTGCATTTGTGATGTGAGTAAGGGACAAGGTAAAAAAATCGTAATAAAAATTTGCTTTATCTGTGTGCTACAAAATCAAATGGAAAACTGATAGGAACCTCAACAAACGCAGCAGAAATTGATGATTTACTGATTATGAAATCTGTCGATTACAACTGAGAATGAAAAAAACGGAAATAAAGAAGAAAACAGATCGAGACAGTTCGAGTCGTCTCACACTCCCAAGGCCAATTCCAGATCCAATTTTTGCCTAACTCCCATCTTCTCCCCTTCCCATTCTTATAGTAACTATATATCCTAACGGCCCAGCCCATATTTTATGACATGGCCCGGGATCCTTACTTATACACTACCACACTTATTTAATATACTTCTATTATTATTAGTATTATTATATTAGTATTATTATACTAATGGGTTCCTATCATATCTCCCCCCTTAGACAACCACCTTGTCCTCAAGGTGGGTGATAGGAACCGGCTTGGACTTTCAGCTTTACTTTCATCCTTGCGCTTCTTCCTTCCCAGTACCTCACTGCGTTCTGGAATAGGAGCTTCATTACTTGAACCTTCTCTGTCATTTGCTCAGCCCCATATTTCTCTAAGATTCTCACAGTTTCTTCATGCATCCCATTATTGCCATGAGTTTGGAGCTTTTCCAGCTGGGCAAGTCCTTCACATCCCAGGTCAGATGGTGGGGTTGGCTTGCATCTATAGGAGTTTGACAAAAACCAGGTTGTGGCTTCACCAGCAAGCTTTCCCAAAGCCCAAACAGCCTGATCACAAACATCATCATCAGGGAGTGAATTGAGAAACTGTATGAACATAGTAACATCATCCTTCAACAGGGCAGTAGCACTCTCTACAACTCTGGGCTCACCAGACAGCATATCCTGTGCAATTTGAGAAAAACACCATGGGCTTAACATGACCCTCTTGCCTTGGGGTGTTAGTTTTACAAATTCCCCAGCACCATCTATGTCTAATTGTTTAGCCACCCTATTGTGCAATATGGATAATTCTGCCTCACCAAACTGAGGTGGGTTAGAATTCAACAAGCATAGTTTTGTTGAATTGAAGAAGGATGGGTTTAAATGGAGTTGAGGGGTTTTTTGGGTCTTACTGGGTACTACAGGAGGTTTGTCAAGGGCTATAGTCACATTGCTGCTCCATTAACACAATTGCTGAAGAAGGATGGGTTTAAATGGAGTGATATGGCATGGTTGACTGAGTTGGGTGACATGGAAGTGAATTTTCAGAAGCAAGTAATAAGATGGAAACAACAAGATAGGATAAATTGTATCCAAGGGGAAGCTGCACTGAATAATTGGGAGGTTCCAATGAAAACTATGCTTCATATTCTGCAGAAAGAAGGGGATGGATATTTTCTTTATTATGAAGGGCAGTTGTATGGTTTGGAACAGAATACTAAGGAAGCCAAGGTTTGGGAGGACATCATTGCTGAATTTCCAGAAGTGTTTACTGATCAGTTGAAGTTTCCTCCTGCTAGAGACTGTGATCATGCCATAAACATCCAAGAAGGAGCTAGTATACCAAATCTAAGGCCCTACAGGTACACTTTTGATCAAAAAAATGAGATAGAGAAAGTAATTGGTGAAATGTTAAAAACGGGTATCATTAAGCACACCAACAGTCCCTACAGCAGTCCTATCTTATTGGCTAGAAAAAAAGATGGTGGTTGGCGATTTTGTGGTGATTATAGAGCCCTGAATAAGATCACAATACCTGATAAGTTTCCCATACCAGTTATAGAGGAGTTGCTAGATGAATTGGGGGGGGGGGGGGAGCAGTGGTTTTTTCTAAACTGGATCTGAAGTCAGGCTACCACCAAATCAGAATGAAGGAGAGTGATACCTGTAAGACTGCTTTCAGAACACATGAAGGTCATTACGAGTACCTAGTCATGCCATTTGGGTTGACTAATGCACCTTCCACATTTCAGGCTCTAATGAATGAGGTTTTGAGACCTTTTCTCAGGAAATTTGCCTTGGTATTCTTTGATGATATACTGGTTTACAGCAAAACCAAGGAAGATCATAAAGAACACCTCAAATTAGTCCTGGAAGCTTTAAAGAGGAATGACTTGGTAGTCAATCAGAAGAAATGTTCCTTTGGTCAGGAGCAACTGAGTTATTTGGGTCATATCATTTCTGCAGAAGGGGTGGCAGCTGACCCTAGTAAAACTAAAGCCATGGTAGAATGGGTTGTACCAAAAGATTTAAAGGAGTTGAGGGGTTTTTTGGGTCTTACTGGATACTACAGGAGGTTTGTCAAGGGCTATAGTCACATTGCTGCTCCATTAACACAATTGCTGAAGAAGGATGGGTTTAAATGGAGTGATATGGCTACAAAAGCTTTTGTTGAATTGAAGAATGCTATGTCTTCTTTACCAGTGTTGAGAATCCCTGACTTCAATAAAGTTTTTGTAGTAGAAACTGATGCATCTGGAAGGGGGTTAGGGGCAGTACTTATGCAAGATGGGGGTCCCATTGCCTTTTTGAGCAAGGAACTAGCACCTAAACATTTGAGTAAATCTGTTTATGAAAAAGAGTTGATGGCAATTGTGTTTGCAATCCAAAAATGGAGGCCCTACTTACTTGGCAGGAAATTTGAGGTTCATACTGATCAAAGAAGCCTCAAATACTTGACTGAGCAAAGAATCATTGGAGAGGATCAACAAAAGTGGATTGCCAAGATAATGGGATACAATTTTATCATTAAATATAAACCTGGATGTGAGAATAAAGCTGCAGATGCTCTGTCAAGGAAATCAAATTTGTCAGCCTTATCAATTGTAAATTGTCAAGAATGGGAAGGATTAGAAGATGAACTGCTGGAAGATCCAAAGTGTGCTGATATTATCCAGAAGATTCTAAGTCATCCGGATCATATGGTGGATTTCAGACTGAAGAAGGGGTTGTTATACTACAAGGGAAGGCTGATGATACCCCAAAATTCCCCTAGAGTGACAAGGATTCTTCTGGAATATCATGATTCTGCAACAGGAGGGCATTCTGGCAATTTCAGAACTATGAAGAGGATCTCAACACTGTTCTACTGGGTAGGTGTGAGGAAGCAGATACAACAATATGTGCAGAATTGTGATGTTTGTCAAAGAAACAAGTATCAGGCCTTGAAACCTGCAGGGTTGTTACAACCATTACCTATTCCATGTCACCCAACTCAGTCAACCATGCCATACCCAAAACAATATCTGTGCCACCCAATTCCAGAATATAATATGATTGATGTATGGTATTTCCTTGCACTTCCAGCTTCATTCCATCACATCTGCCATTATTATGGATGAGATCCCCATTGCCAATCTGCACTTTAACTCCTTGTATAGGCATAAAAGGTACCCCCCACCTGTCAATGAAACCCTGCGCTATGAAATTGTGTGTTGCCCCACTGTCAATCAGAATGTTCACAGGTTGTTTCCCATCAACCCAATTCAACACACCTTGCACCTTGAATGCTTTCATGGATGGAATACCCTCCTTACTTAAAACAGAGAGTTGCATTGTTTTAAGTTGTTTATGAGTATCTTCCTCTTCTCCCCATTCCAGTAATTCCCCTTCAGATTCATCTTCTCCTTCAGAATGCTCTACTAGAATCATCTTATAGTTCTTCATTTTACAGATATGACCCTTGCCCCAGTCCTCTCCACATTTGAAACACAAACCTCTCCTACTTCTTTCCTGCAGCTCACTCCTGGATAATCTGGGACCCGATTTACTCATATTAGGTGCCTTAATGTCAGTATTGCTTCTGTAATCTGAGTTACTCTTTGGTAGGTTAGAATTACTGTTCGTAATACTTTTCCATCTGCTTCCCTCACCCCAAATTGCTTGAGAATTTGAGCCATTGCTCTTACTTAGCCCCTTTTTCTTCCCTTCCTCTGTGTTCTTCATCAACATTGCTTCATTATTTTTATTTTCAATAAGAGAAGCTTGGCCCATGAGTTCAGCTAAGGTTCGTGTAGTATACAACTTCAGTTCAGCGTTGATATCTCTTCTCAGTCCCTTAAGAAAAACACCTTTCAGAACCTCCTCGGTTAGATGTCCCTGTGAAGCTATGGCTGTTTCAAACTTGTCTATGTACTCCTTCATAGTTCCTCTCTGCTTTAAGCTGAACAACGGTCCTAACGGATCTTGTACCAGCTCTGGTTGAAAGCGTGTAGTCAAATCCTTCGTAAAAGTCTCCCAATTCATATGGCGAGCCTGGCCTTCCCACCATTGGAACCAGCTAAGTGCCTGGTCCTCCATCGCCAAAACTGCCAGGTCAATTTTGTCTCGCTCATCATTCTGATTCAACCTGAAGTAACGATCCATCCTCATCAACCAACCAAAGGCATCATCTCCGTTGAAAATCGGTAAATCGATTTTCCGTCCAGCTTTATTAGGATTTCGGTGTTGATTATGGCGCTCGCGATCCTGATGCGAGCCAGAGTAATCGGAATGTGTTTCAGAGCCTTCCGAACTGTCATCATGCTTCGTGTGTTTCCTCTGTTATGATTGACGCGAAGAGTTCGAGTGGTGCGAACGACTCTGTGATCTATCCGAGTTCCTGTTCTGCATTTCAGCTAGATTAGCTTGCATCGTTGCCAAAGCTGTCGTGAAATATGACTGCATCTCTCTCAAATTCCTCTCCATGCTAGCTTGCATCTCTCGCTGGCTCCTTTCTATTTCCGTCAATCTGCTTTCCATCTTTGCGCGCGTCACGGTCATCCAGCGATCAAACACGCTCTGATACCAATGATAAGAACAGTTCGCAATCCACAATATACAGGACGAACTGGAAACAATCCACAAACTTCATTAATGGCGGTATACAGTACAATAGTCCCAAAGCTAGAGATAAGACTCTAACTTCCCAGTCCCAAGCCAAGCATCTAACAGCCTGTCTAACTTCTAACTGGTTTATTCTATTTATAGTCCCCACTCCTTAACTATAAGTAGTTAATAGTTCATAACAACTATCCGCCTGCCAAAACAGATAAACTACTTCTTCTTTCTAGAATAGACTAAACCATATCTATTCTTATTATTTATAATAGTCGGCCATGGATGCCGCAAAGTTTGCCGCCAAATTTTCCATTGCAGTACGCCGATCATCCACCGATGATCGTAACATCTCTTGTACCTCGGACAGTTTCCCCTTCATCTCTGCCAAATTCCGTTCCAGAGTATCCATGCGAAAATCCATTTTCGCTCTTGTTCTTACCATCCACCACAGAACGTAAGTGTTGCTGAGGTCACCAATCAATTTCGATCACCAAGAGCTAGTGCTCTGATACCAATGATAGGAACCTCAACAAATGCAGCAGAAATTGATGATTTACTGATTATGAAATCTGTCGATTACAACTGAGAATGAAAAAAACGGAAATAAAGAAGAAAACAGATCGAGACAGCTCGAGTCATCTCACACTCCCAAGGCCAATTCCAGATCCAATTTCTGCCTAACTCCCATCTTCTCCCCTTCCCATTCTTATAGTAATTATATATCCTAACGGCCCAGCCCATATTTTATGACGTGGCCCAGGATCCTTACTTATACACTACCACACTTATTTAATATACTTCTATTATTATTAGTATTATTATATTAGTATTATTATACTAATGGGTTCCTATCAAAAACACAAGCCAACTAGCGATGCAGACTAGCACAAAGACTTACGAAATGAATACAATTAAAAAGAAACTTTATCCAGAGGCTCACACCATAACTGTCCAGAAGCTCTCCCTCCTCTATCTCATCAGTCATGTTACTTTCTGGAGTGTTACAATGGTCTGCATCCGTAACTCGAAAATTACTTTCTGCAACTGCTCCCTCACTCAGCTTACATTGCAACAGATAGACAACTTTACTGAGATGAGATTCTTGAAACTTAACATCAGGTTGGAAGCTTGGCCTCTCATCACTTTGTAAAGCTGTTAGGAAAGAGTGGGCAACCTGCAATTGAAAAAATACACTAATCCCAGTTTTTGTTTGTTTAAAGAACGATCAAAGAGAACTTGAATTATATGAGCCTTATGAATATATATTTAAACCTTAAAAGCACACCATTGTCCTAGTTCACCAAGTGCATAGTTTATAGCCCTTAACTTTTGAATTAAATTAGCAGCACCATCACTTTCAGTTCTTTCAGACACACCATAAACTAGACGCGACTCTTCCTTAACTCCAGCATCTCGAGCACCCATAAATTGCCATTTACTTTTTCTTGAACTTGAATGGGCAGTTGCTTCAACTGCCACTTCCATTTGTTTAATTTGATCATGAAGAGACCATAAAGTAGCAGCTTTATCATACTCTACTACGGTTTCAGATGGCATTGGCACATGCTTCTCCAGCTCCTTGCGGTCATTTACAGTGTAAACAACAGAGTCCAGTTTAATCTCCAGGTTACGAATCTTAACTGCACAGTCCACTTGACTGGAAACACCTGCACGAGTGCAAGAAATAAACCCCTCTACTACGTCACTTACCAACTTCCAAGTTAATTCAGTAAGGAAAACTCATAATAAAACTTTCAGAAGTGATAGCAGCCTATAATTATTCAGCACATACCAAAAATCTTCTAGATGCCCTCATTGATAACTATAAACAATGACACAAAACATCCACAAATACACAAGATTCCACTATAATGAGAAACTTTAAATAGGGCGCAGATAAAAGACACAACTTGTTAGATGCAAATAAGAGGGGCACACCAGTATACACATTAACACAACCTTAATAAACAGCAGGTAGAGGGGCAAAAATATCAAACACGAATTCAATAACTAAAAATAAGCACAGGTATGAGGAGAGAGAGAGAGAGAGAGAGAGAGAGAGAGATAATATGTAAGAAGAATACCCTTTAAGTTAACAGGAGAAGCAGTCATCCCAAAAACTGAGGGCCTTCTTTCCTTTGGAGTAGTGTGATAGAATTCGGACATTACTAAAGAGTATGGGTGCTTCTTCACAGCATGATGACATTCATCCAGAACCAGGAGATTAATAGATTCCATTTTTATTATACTATGCCTCAAGATGTTCAGTAAAATTTGAGCTGTCATTACTAACACCTGGAATGATAGGGAACATACAAATGAGGCAATTAAATTGTACTGTCATATAATCGTGATCTACATACTTCAACAAAAAAGTTGATGCATATAAGCATATTAGTTTTCATTTTTCCTTCTTTTATAGTTGGAATGGAAACAATGACACTCCCAGTTAACTAACAGTAAACACAAAATACTAAAAAATATAATTCTAGCCAGTACATGCATATCAATACCACTACACAGAGATTTATTTTTTGGAACCTAAATCCTACCTGTTTGGACTCAAACTCATGCTGCCACCGCCGAGCATCCCAGAAATCTTGTCCCATTTCACCACAGTAATGCCCTACTTGATAGCCGGTTCTTTCACGAATGACTTCTGCTTGCTGCATTACATTAAAAGAACAGTTGAAAAACTTTTTCCAGCTCATAGAAATAAAAAGTTAAAAAGAGCTAGAGAAAAAATATAAAACCTCACTAAAAACAGAAGAATAAAAGAGGACACCTGGTAAACCAATGGAACCTTAGGAACCAAAAATACAGACAACATCTTTTTATTTATTTTTTGCAAATCAGAGTAAATGCTTCTTATAAGAAGGATTGCAATGAGTGTTTTCCCAGCCCCTGTTTCGAGAAAAGCAATAGTGTTTCTCTGTTTTGCCTGTTCAAGAACATCCAATTGGTATTTACGAGCCTGCTGTTCAGGGCATTGGTGTTCCTTAGGTTTCTCAAGTTTCATCTCCAATCCTCCTCCATTCCTTTCAATGTGTTTGCCAGAGAAGAGGACGACTTTTCCTCTGTTCTGGTCAGCTTCCCAGTAACCTGTTCGGAAAACCATTTCATTCCTCTCTTTGTCTCTCTCCCAATAGCCTCTTCCATCATTCCAATCTCTCTGCCTCCTGAAACACCCTTGCCGTTCTTTTCCTTTAATTTCATCCCTGTCTGGTCGCATACTAACATCACTAGACTGGCGACGTCTCTTCCTACCTAGAGGTCTTTCAGGGTTTTTTCTCTCTTTCATGTTTTCACTGAGACGCCCCCTTTTGCCATATCTACCTTTGTCATCAAATTGATTGATGTGCTCTTGCGAGTATTCATTCACTTTATATACAGATCGAATCTTCCCACAACCAGTTCCACTCAGCTCCATGTTGGTCGCGGTGTTTAGGTGTTCAGAACTACCATCTTTGTGACTGAAATTATTGGGATCGTTTAGACAACAAGAGTCAAATTCCACTGCTGACCGCTGATTTACGTGTCCACTGACGTTGCAGTTGGTTGAAGGCACGTGAGCACCATTCTTGATATTCTCCAGAATGTGATCTATCCCGCCGAAAAAACAAGGATCAAGACCACTAGAGTCGTGAATGGTGCTTTGGGAGACAATAGTGGGATTCCCAACAGTGGCCGTGGCATGGGATTCAAAATTGACATATTCGTGGAGCAAATCGTCGCAAGGATAGTCCTCGCACGCATCAATCCAGTACGAGGGTTTGACATTATCGGCGGTAACAGAAACCCTAGCCTCATCATCCATTACGTTTTACAGTCCCAGTACCTGTTTTTTTTACTGCAGATGTGTTGAGGTAGACTGGTAGTACACAACTAGACTCTCACAACGACCAATTTCGGCTGATGGAACACAAGAGCTGACTGAGTTTTTGACAAGGCTGGTAGTACACTTTTGGTACTTGACTTTTAATTTTTTTCACTTTTAGTCCTTGACTATTGTGCGAGAGACACTTTTGATATCTGTCTTTGAAAATTTCCGTATTTAGAGCATCTTCAATGTTAAAACGTGAACGGTGCATACGTGGCATGAGAGAGAGTCAATGAAAAACAATCAATAGAATATCTCTTTCCTTATTTGAAGGATCTTATATCATTTTGGTAAGTTTTTCTTCACAATGTCAAGCACAATGCCTAGATGTAGACATTATGGTTGACATTGCAGGGAAAAACTTACCAAAAACTTACAAAATCAATCTTTTGTGTCTATCTCTCTCATGTCACATGTGCATCGTGCACATTGCTCTAAAATCTCCTTCGACTTTTGTAGAAGTGACACTTTTGGTCCTTCAACTATTGCAATAGAGACATTTTTAGTCATCCATTTATTGTGTCAAAATCATAGTAGAAGGACTAAAAGTGTCAATTTGATAATACTCAAAGGACTAAATGTGAGAAACTTGAAAGTAGGGGACTAAAAGTGTCTCACGAACAATAGTCGAGGACTAAAAATGGAAAAATTAAAAGTTATGTACCAAAAGTTTCATTGACGTAATACTCGAGGGACCAAAAGTGGCAAAAACTCAGAGCTGGCTGGATGAAAAGTTGTGGTTGGAGTGCTGCATTATTTGATTCTATTAATAAATGAAAAAAATTATATTTACGGTATAAATATAGAAAGTTTAAAAATAAAATTAAATAATATGTATGAAAAAGCAGTTTAAATGATCTTCTACTGTAATGATGTTTTTACTTGGACATTAATTTGTTGGTTTGGTCTGTTCAAGTCTAGCCTCGTCTGTTTAAATCTGGTCCGGTGTGGTCTGAACTGACCTGGTTTGGTAAATGTCTGGTCTCAATGTATTTTATAACTACGGAAGTCAAGTCTGATTTGGTCTGTTTAAGTCTATTCTGGTCTGGTCTGGTCTGTTTCAGTTTGGTCTGGTCTGGTGTAATCCGGAACTGAAAACAGCCCAAGTAAAAACATCCTAACTTCAGTCAATTCTGTCAGGAAAATAACTTCAACATTACTTTTTTTATTATTACATAATTTTGCGCGTGAAATCAAAAAATTTGTGTTTGATGGAAAAATTGACTGATAAACTGAAAAACAATGTCACTGAACAAGCTCAAAGAATAGGCTTTTGAATGGACATAAATGGGATTAAGTTTGAATTTAAACAACAAAATGTATCAAATATTAATGATTAGACCTATATAATCTTAATATAAAATATAAACCTAGCTTGTTTTCATCTCTCATCCCCACTCTCCATTTTCATGCCCATGGTATCTCCCGGTGCCGTCGGCCGACTTCTTCATTTCACCGCCGACAAACTTCTCTCCTGTCGCTGCTGCCCCCTCCTCGTTGTAGAGAAAAATATCCTTCGAGCATTCAAGAGCTATCTATCAAAAGAGAAAGTGATATTCTAAACTTTACTCTCTGCTTGGACTCATGCTTCACTAATCTTCCCGTTTATAAGCCATTCATTGCTAAATCATAGAAGTTTAGTTCCTGGTTGGAGGTTAGAACTTTCTTGTAATATTTCTCAAATTGTTGTAAACACTTAGGAGAACAGTTGTTCGGATCCTAAAGTGTGGGTAGATAGATAGAGTACCTTTTGATCCCCACTGGTTCATTAGAGAAAAGTCTAAGGACTGAGTAACTGTGAGTGGTGCTATACTCATTGTGAAAAACCTTCAATCTAGGCCTAAGTGTTGTAAAGGCTAGATTGGCACTAAGTGTATTGGGCTTAATACTTCAGTCAAATCCATCTGAAAGAGGGTGGGACTGGACGTAGGAGGATTACATCACCTCTGAACCAGGATACACTGTGTGTTGATTTACATTTATTCAACAAAGCACACACTCAACACTTCTTACAAAAGATCGAAGTTTGCCAGCAGAATCCTAAGCAGTTGTCTTAACTGACCCAACTGCTTATCCTACTCCTCAATTACTTACTTTCTTTGAGACCATTTTCACACAAGAGACGTGCATCAATATCACTAAAAGGCATGTTCTATCAGTTTCCAGAAATTCATTTTCTAAGTATAGCAGGTGCCTCAGCAGTCCCCTGGTGACCACCCAACTGTTGAGCCCTCTGCTCATATACACTTGTTTCTCTTGAACATCTCAATATCACCAGACCCTCATAACATTACCAACAAGGAGGTTGACCAAACTGCTCTCAGAAAATCACCTTCTAAACTAAGCAGGTACCTCAGCAGTTCTCTCATCACTACTCAACTGTTGAGACCACTGCTCCAGTAAAGCTCCTGATTACCTTTACTAAATCACATTTTCTGAAAGCCCTCATCATTCTCAGCAACATTCCATCATCACTTTCATCAAACACCCAATATTTCCTCAGTAGTTGCCTTAGCAGTTCCCTGCTATCTAGCCAACTGCCAAGCCAACTGCCAGACATTTAGGTCCAATCTTCTACCAAGATAGAAAATATTCACACACTGATTCCATAAAGGGTAAAGACTTCCGCTGTGCATCTATAAATCTCTCAAAAGATTATAGATCAACTCTTTAGAGGGAGAAACGCTTTAAAGTTGAAAAAGATTTAAAAGTCTATTAACCCCCCCCCCCCCCCTAGACTTTTACCCTATATGGGACCATCACGTCCTATCCACTTAGATTTGCGGTTGCATCTAGTTTTCAGATTTTGGATTGGTTAGGGTTTTTACTCTTATTTCGGGAATTTCCCCCAAAAAAAAATGTACTACCTCCGTCCCAGATTAAGGGTTTCTTAGAAAAACGTCACAACTATTTAGACAATAATTAAATAAGGTAATTTGAGTATTTTTTGAGAAATGACATAGAAATGTACTACCTCCAAATGCCCAACACAGTCTCGTGAACTTTCGTATGATTTTTTTGGGTTGATGCGTTTAAGGTGTGATTAAAGCAATATGAGGGCAAGAAGAATCGCTAGAAGGAAAAGGAGGTAAAGTGGGTCAAGTTCTATGAGACCGAATCCCGACCCGACCCGACCCTCTATTCTACATTGTGAGATTATAGAAGAACTATAGAGAAGTCTAAGATATTGAATACAAGTTTAATTTGCAAATCTTTTACAGTGAAATAAATGCGAGTATTATATCTCTATCTCTATCTCTACAACATTACAATAGTGAATATTGTCAAGGGCATAATAGTAAAGGGAAAAAATGTTGGTGTCTCTTATTGCACAGAGTCATTGTACATCATGTAAACATTCTTGTACTTGTTAAGTCATAATAGCTCCCGCTTTAACGGTAAGTGCTACGGTGTTGTTCATCGTTAGTGCACGTTTAAATATATTTATCCTCTCAAGATCTACTAAGTGTTCCCTCTTCCCATAGTAAATTCAACAATCTGTTAGAAAAGGCTCACTTAAAATGTTCAAAAAAATCTTGTAAGTTCTTGTCTCTATTCAAGTGCTTTACCTTTTCTCTTGATTTTAAGTTCTTGTCTCTTTTGCTCAAGGTCTTTATTTACACCCGAGTAAAAAATAAGTTGCGGCGAGTCAAATATATGCTTGGGCATTTTAGCAAACGCGCATAGTGCGTTAACAAACTAGTATACTATAACGTAGTAGGTGTAGGGGAGTGATATTTCGAACCCTTCGTGGATGGACCCCAACCATAAAATCTCTTATACGCCAATTTTATTTGGGAAAACTGTCAAATAGGTCCTCGAACTTTTATAAAAAAGTCAATTAAGTCCTTCTTTAGGAGGTTCTATCCGACCGTCGTGATTTAGGGGCAGTTATCGGTGGAATTTTTTGATGAAATTTTTGAGCGTCTTATTCACGAAGTCTAGTTTACTCATACCAAATTTCACCTAAAATTTCAATCGGGAACACATTCAAATTAATTCTTGAAGATAACTGCGCATTTTTGCGTTCTCGAATTAATTTGAATGCGCTCCCGATTAAATTTTTTGCTGAAATTTGGTATGAGTAAACTAGACTTGATAAATAAGATGCTCAAAACATTTCATCAAAAAATTCCACTGGGAACAACCCCAAATCGCGACGACCGGACAGAGTCTCCTATAGAAGGACTTAATTGATTTTTTTATGAAAGTTCGAGGACCTATTTGACAGTTTTCCCATTTTATTTTAGGCTTATGAAAATAGAAAGATTTAGAAATAAGATTGTTTTTCCACCAAGATGCCAAACGGAGATGCCTCATCAACCTTTTTAAGATTGGATGACCTGCAGGCACGAGAGAATAGCCTAATTTGATGAACAATGAACTCAATAAAGGTGGTTTAATAATGTCCCCTCAAACCAGATCACAATATAGCTTCCAAATATGCCAAGCGACAATCCCTGGCATGTTATGTTTGGAGCAATCCATGACAGCCTTAGAACCAGCTTGTAGCCACCAAGAAATAAAGATTTGACGGATAGGCCCAGACTGAAAAGGAATCTCAAAATGCCCATGAAGTATTTCCATGAGAATTTGATACATAAATGCACATTCCAATGATATTATGCCATCACTGAATATGAATGAGTGACCGGGAAATGACTGCATTCTTCTACCACTTAAAAACTCATCCAGAACTTCTCGAGCAAGATACCATCAAGAAACAAGTTTTCGAAATGAGATGGATATGCATCCAAGACGTAGAGCACAACATGATTGATTTTAATTGTGTACCTTGTTGTAGTGTATTATTTCCTTTTGTAGTTACACAGGTGTAAAAATAGCAATTAGAGGCGCTTAAAATGAGGCATGTGCGGCACTTCGAAGCGTATCTAAAAATTGTGCCGCAGATGTCATTTAAAGGCGCTTCGTACACCAGAAGCGCATCCAAAGTTTTATGGCGTGCGGCGCTTGTATAACCAAA